TTTTTTTGGATTTTTTAGTAGAGACGGGGTTTCACCATGTTGACCAGGATGGTCTCGATCTCTTGACCTCGTGATCCACCCGCTTCGGCCTCCCAAAGTGCTGGGATTACAGGCTTGAGCCACCGCGCCCAGCCCAAGTCCGCTCTTGATACAAAGCATTCAGTTAAGTGGGAAACCAGGCCTATGTGGGCTGCACACACATTAGTGTTTTATTCATATGACATAGACGCCCCACTCTTCAGAAATTTCAACTACCTGGAACTTCTGGAGTGAGCCAGTCTGGATGGCAAAATTTTCCAGATGGGTGAAATTTAATTCCTTTAAACAAATGTATTTGAAAGTTTACTCATTATGTAAATGATCATAAATACCAATTAATTTGCCCACTGGATACAAAGAAGCCCTGAGACTATGTGCAAAATGATTCCAGGCAACTGTGCCCTGTGTGTTACTGCTCCGCTATTCCTGATCCTTGCGGAATATAATACCTTCACCTCCATTCTTAATCCCATCTCTGCCCAGTATTTATAAAATCTTGTTCTCACTTCTCATCAGTCACTTCAGCCTTTCCACAAACAAATCTGTACAAGTCCCCCTGATGCTATAACGAGGATCGGCCCTATATTCTTGGTGCTTTTGCCTGAAGACGTCAGAGCCTTGGCTTCCTCCCATAGCCTTTCAGCTGTAGTGTTCTTAACCCTACCTGCATATTCGAATATTCTGGAGAGCTTTTTAAAAAATGATGATGCCGTGCCAGGCACGGTGGCTCATGCCTGTAATCCTAGCACTTTGGAAGGCCAAAGCAGACAGATCACCTGAGGTTGGGAGTTCAAGACCAGCCTGACCAACATGGAGAAACCCCATCTCTACTAAAAACACAAAATTAGCCAAGCATAGTGACACTTGCCTATAATCCCAGCTACTCAGGACTCTGAGGCAGGAGAATCACTTGAACCCGGGAGGCAGAGGTTGCGATGAGCTAAGACTGAGCCATTGCACTCCAGCCTGGGCAACAAGACTGAAACTCCATCTCAAAAAAAAAAAAAAAGATGATGCCATCTTTGGCACTGAGGAACTACAAATTAAAGTGACAGTGAGCTCTCACTTTGACCTCATCAGACTGGCAAAACTTTAAAAAGAGAGAAACTCTCTTTGCTGATGGAGATATGGAGAGCCACTAGTAGAAACTCAGTCACTGGTGAGTTTAAGCCCTTTAATGAGGGAACTGGCTCTCCATTTTAAAATTAAAATACTCACTTCCCCAACGACTTTGGAAAACTCTTGAGCACCACATGATCCAGCAACTCCATGCCTCGGTATCCACTCAAGAGAAATGAAAACTGCCTCCTCCAAACAATAATGTTCACAGCAGCTTTGTTCATAATACCACCAAACTGGAAACAACCCCAATGTCCATCAACAGGAGAACAAAAAAACAAAAACAAATTCTAATATTTTTATAAAATAAAGTAGTGTTCTAAAAAAAGGAACAAACAACAGATACAATATAAAAATATGGATGAATTTCAAGAACATTACACTGAGCAAAAAAGTCAGACACAAAAATGTTCAAACCATGTGACTCCACATATATGAAGTTCAAGGACAGGCAAAACTAACCTATGGTGAAAGAAATAGGAACAGTGTTGCCTATGAGGGAGTAGAGACTGCCTGAAAAGAGACACCAAAGAATTTAGCATGATAGAAATAATGTCTGGAGTATAACAAACAAAATTTGTATGGAGTATAGAGATTGTTTGGAGTGTAACATGAGTGTATACGTTTGTCAAAATGAATGTATACACTGGTCAAAACTTATAATGAACTGCACACTTAAGATGTGCACTTTTCACTGTCACTTTTACCCCAATTTAAAAATAATGGTTAGAATAATAAAATGGTTGAATTTGTAATAATAAATGAGACAAGCAGGAGAAAAGATATACTACTGAGAACAATTCTTTATCCTGGGAACCTTCTTCCTCTTAGGACTAAAAGTCTCCCTGAGGATATGCCGAATGATATTAATGGCAGCACTCTGTCTATTGGCCAAAACCCAAGCCACAAGAGACAATAACAAAATAAGGAACTAACTTGGTAAAAGAAATCAAGGGTGTTAGTCTGTATTTAATCTATCTCTAAGTGATACATCTTTAAGTGATAAAAACAGGATGCAGGGAAGTACATACAATACATCCCATTTTTTAAAAATCATAAAAAACCCCACCGCATACATATTTATGTAAGATTACATGACCATGAAAACTTTATGAAATATAATTCCCCAGCCTTTTACTAAGGATTTGGGGTGACAGATGTGGGCAGAGCGGGAAAGAGGAGAGAAGAGCAACCCCTTGCCCAAAAAGGTTTCATTTGTCAATAATTTCCCCAAAGGAAAACAACAGTTATAACATGATCCTGTTGATTACATGCGTTTTTGTGCATAAAAAGATGCTTAACACACAGCCGAACTGTTATCCTGGGATGGGGGGAATTCAAACGATATTTAAGTTCTGCCTAACACTTCATGGCTTGCCCAAAATTTTATAATTATATCATCAGAAATAATCACAGAGTTGGTTTTGTGATAGGAAAAAAAATTATTAAAAACTTAGTGCAAAGCATATTCTGATATAGAGAATGTATAAAGAATTTCTACAACTCAGTAACAAAAAAAATACTCTCAATTTTAAAATGGGCAAAAGACTTGTAGAGACACTCCTTTAAAGAAGATTTACAAATAGCCAGCAGGCATATGAAAAGATGTCAACATCACTAATCATAAGGGAAATGCAAATCAAAACCAAATAAGGTATCACCTTGTACTCGT